TGGCAGCAGTATCAGCAACAGTATCAGCAGCATTATCAGCAGCAGATGATGCAAGCGCAGGGCTCGCCGCAGATGGTACCGCCGCAAAGACAGGGCTCACCGTTGCAGAGACAGGGATCGCCGGGGCTGGGACAGGTGCAGGGGAATCTGAGAAAAGAGATGATTGCTGGCGAGCAGCAGAATGGCGGTGGGATCCCGGCGTCGCTCAGCAGGAATGGAAGCGCGCATAATTCGCCGTTGCGGGCGACAATACATTCGTTGGATGGTGGTGAGCAGATGAGGGAGGAGGGGAGGGGGAGCTTGCCGTCGATGCCGCCTGCTGCTGTGATGTTTGACGATGCGAGGGCGGGGACGCCGCCGATGGTGGGCGTGCCGTCGCCGGAGGAGGCGAATGTGCATGCGCACAAGCCGTCGCGCGCATATGGTGGTCCTCCGCTGTCTCCGTCTGCGTATGCGTATGGGCCCGCGTTGACGCACCCTGTTCCCTCGCATGCTTCACCCCGTACAGCACACCCGGTTCCGTCGCCTCCGCAGAGCCAAGAAGGCCCGCCGATATCACCGTCGTCTCATGCACATTCGAGCTCGGGACATGGTAGCAATCATAATGCCAACGCAGGGAAGGCTGCGCACGGGCGTACGCGCTCGGGGTCGTCGATCTCGCCTGCTCGCCCTGGGTTCGCGCAACAGCAGCAGCTGCCGACGCCGACGCCGTCGAGCAGCGCGTCGAATGTGAGCATGAGCATGAGCGTGCCCGTGCGTGCGGGGAGCCTCAGCGGGATGAGTGGGTTGAGTGGGCTGAGCGGGAGCATGGACAAGCCGCTGCCGGAGGGCCCGCGGCAGAGGAAGAAGTATTCGCTGCTGTCGGCGTTTGGGGTGCCGCTGGACAAGGAGAGGATGAGAAGGGAGGGAAAGGCGAGCATGAAGTCGGACAAGAGTGCGATGGAGGTTGTTCAGGTGCAGGTGGGTGTTTAGCTCCTCTCTCAATGACTCTCTTGCTTGAAAGACCCTTTTTCCCCTTTGCTTTCTTCCATTCCTGTTTGCCTTTGCCTTTGCCTTTGCTCTCTGCCTCTACCGGTGTTCGTGCTCGTCTCGGGCTCGGGCTGCCGCGGATGGGGTTCTTGGTCACGCTCGTCGGTGGCTTCGCGATCACGCTCGTCGTGGTCATTTCCGTGCTGGTTCGAGATCGTCTCCGCTGAATTGAGCCCTGTATGGAGCTAGTTCCTTTTCGCTCATTCAAGGACGCTCCGTGTCTTCTCGGACGCACATGCGCACGGACCCCGGCGTCTGAGCTGCTCCTTTCCCACTGACGGCGCCTGCCCGATATGGGCAAGTGCTTGTCGATTGTGGCACGGTGCGGGGATACGCCGGCCGGAGTGGCGGCATAGACTCAATGACGTCGCGCCTATTTTGGCAGCGGACATTGATGTCATTTGCTGTCCTCCGTGCCCTGCCAAGTCGTCTGTCTGCCAGCATGCGCTCTGATCGGTATTGGGTCTGTCGTCGTCGTCGCTGCTGCTGCGGCCGCCGTGCGCAGGGAGGGAGTTGCACGTGCGGAGGGCGCCCAATGTGGCGTGGACGGCCACGCGGCGAGCGAACACGACGGCCGGGGAAGTTACGGAATCAGGATGTGATCCTGAGGAACGTTGGCGTTTGGTTGCGATGGTCGGTGCGCATCTGTGGCGGATGTCTTCCTGTCTGACCCTGCATCACGGGTTTAATCCTCGCCGATCGGCCCCTTTACCACCGCGCGCGGCAGCACGTCTTCTGCCTCACGTTTTTGCCTTCTCGCTATATAGTCTTCTTCGCATGGTGTTCGCGCGAGTGCCCCTCGTTGCTTAGGGGCGTCTTTGTTCTCCCCTTTGCCTCTGCTCGCTTCCTGCTTGCTACCGTCACCGCATTCTGCCCTGTCGCGCCCTGATCGCTGCAATGCCCGTGCTGACACGCGTATATCCCTCCTTTCAGCCTGCTTATCCCACCCCGGTCCCCTCTCGCGATGGCCACAGCGACGTCTATCGCCAAAACCAGCACGGCCTCGTTGACGCTGCGCGCAGCTCGAGCAGCAGGAAGCTTACCAAGGCAAGCGAGAACGCGGTCACGAAAAAGTCGCGCTCGGTGAGCCTTTTCGTCGTGCCTTCTTGCGTGCGCTGGTCCGGCGAGCCCGACGAGGTCCTCGGTGTCGATCTCGTCCCCGTCCGGTGAGCCCTCCCTGGCCCCGGACGCCCCTGTTCGGCTACACGCCGGACCCCCCGTATGTGTATAGGAGAGTGATGTTTTTGATGGACACCGATCTGCGAACACATTATAGAGGCAGACGCTGGACAGTCACGCATATTGACACTCGGCACCGAGACGATCCCTCATAGACGGTATATGCCCGGCTCGCGACGCGACGTCGGTACAGCGGTTAATCTATCTATCTGTATACTCTCTATACTTGAATGGACTACGGACATTTTTCCTCTCTCTCATCGCCTCCATCTACATTTTCTGCCCTCTCTGCATGATGCATTATGTTTTGTCTGCCTCCGCGTGTCCGCCATGTGCTCCCCATCCTACGTCCACGTTCATTATCACTGTACGTCGCCTCGCGCCGCGTCTCAATCTATACACGTCGCCTCGCGCCGCGTCTCAATCTATACACGTCTGACGCGAATCCTTGCGCTGTCTGACAGCGAAGGCGGCGAGCTCGCTCGCTCGGTTGTGGGCCCCGCGTGCCCATATTCTGCCTGACCCGCCTGCCGCTGGGTCTTAAAGTTTATCCGTATCTCGCTTCGCGATCGCCGGACCAGCGCAGTCTATTCATGATCATTTGCAATCACGGAATATCACCGTAGCTAACCACACTGTTCACAGCAACCAACTCAGGATTATAATCCTCAGGCTGCTGCGCCCACGGACTCTGCGTCGCCCTCTTCTCCTCCCTCCTTCCCATCCCGACGCCTCACCAGTCCGTCATCATCACGCGCCCAACCTTCCCCATCTGTGACGAGCCCCCCACCCGATGCCAGGTACGCCGATCGTGACGTGCGCGAAGGTTCGCGTCGTCGATCAAGGCAGGCCACAAGCCCCCCGCCACCGGTATCGTCCAGCGCGCGTCTCGCACGCGCGACCTCGCATGAGTATGTGGGTGGACAGCAGTATGCGGGTGAGAGGCCGGTGCATCGCGTGTCGGTCAGGGCGGGTGTCGTGCGCGCGGCGTCGGCGCGGGTGCCTATGGGCGAGAGCGCGGTTGTGGAGTACGCTACGCGGCATACGACGAGAGCGGGCTCGTCTGCGCGTGTGCCTGTGGAGGACGCTAGGGTTACCTCGACGCGCGTGCGAGGGCGTGATCGCGAGCGTGAGCGTGCGCTTCCGCCCCCGCCTGTTACGGAGACTACCTCCCCATCCAACCCCTCGCATATACATGGTCAGACGCAGTCACAGTGGCCCTCGCGTATACCCCACCAGCAACCTGCGCATATATCCTACCAGCAACCCGCGCATATATACCAACAGCAAGCAACATCTCCGCCCGTCGCGCGCTCGACGTCTACCGCCTCGGGTTCGGTCGCCTCCCCGCGCACGCCGGTGCACCGCAAGCTCCCGCCGTCGATCGACTCGCTGAAGTCGAGTGCAAGCGCGAGCGCGAACGTCGTTCCATCGCGTACGCATTCACGCACGCAGAGTCTCGACCAGGCAGGTTCGGGGACGAACGTGCAGACGATGTCTCGTTCTCGAACGCAGAGTTTTGAACAGAACAGACTGCCGGGCGAGAGCCAGGTTCAGGCTGGGATGGCCGCGCAGGTTTTCGCGAGTGAGCAGCAGGTGCAAGGGAAGCAAGAGGAGGAGGAAAGACCGCCTCCGCCTCCACCCAAGCCAGAGTCGATCCCAAAGTTCGCGGTGCCCAAGACGCGCTCTGAGCCAGCAAGGACCGCAGCAGACGCGCAATTTCCCTTCGCGGTACCAAAGGCGCAATCCGAGTCCGCATGGACTGGTATGGAGGTTCGAAGAGAGGACAAAAGACCGCGGACGCGCTCGGACGGCAGAGCACCCGGTATGCCCGCGGTCGAGAGGGTGAGGACGCGTTCGGACGTCAGGTCTTCTGGCGTGCCTCAGGTGGAGAGGGTGAGGACGTACTCGGATGCCAAGCCTCCGACTGCGGAGCGGGATGTCAGGCAGATGGAGCAACAACCCGTGCAGAGTCCGAGGCAGGCGTGGTTCGAGCAGAATGCTCAGCAGGAACTGCGGGACGCGTATGATCCCTCGGGATACACGCAAGAGCACCCGGTGAAGGGCCGTCCGCGGATCTTCGTAGCCATGGCCGCTTCCACTTCAGCAGAGGAGACTGAGTCTCCGGAGACTGCGCATCCGAATTCGGCGCAGCAGGTCGGTACCCCGCTCGTGAAGGGCCGTCCGTTGATATTTGCAGCTATGGCGGCGTCTGCGGAGGAGGATGGGGTGCGGAGCGCGGAGCGCGGTATGGCCGAGGAGGGCACGTATGGTCAGTACTCGCAGTTGCTGGATGGGCATGGCTACGCGCAGACGTACGGATACTCGTCGCAGTACTCGCACGATGCAGTCGCAGAAGCAGGATCGCGAGGGCGCGAAGACGGTCCAAAAAGCAAGCAAGGGTCGATGCGTTCGCAATCCCTCCCGCCCCCGGGTACGCTCGACACGACGGAGTTTGGAGAGTACGAGCAGCGCGGTCGTGTGCCCGAGCGTAGTGGCTCGCGCAGCAAGCTGAGCAAGTTCCGCGGGAGGTCGAAGGAGAAGGAGAAG